AATATATGCAACGTGATACCTAAAACTAAGTTAGTTGATTTATTTACACACATTAATCACGTAGGAATTACATTGCAAAGTCGTTATTCGTTATTTAATTCAAGTTCGTGATAGGAACAAAATAACAAGATTCGCCTTGGCTTAAGTGATCACTCAACAATTATTTATTCACTTCTATTTTTTTTTAACCCAAGATACTATGTGAAATTGATTAACTAGAAATCCGTTTAAAGTTATCAAACAATACTAATTAATTAATTAAAGTCCTTAATAAAACAATAAAAATAAAGGTGATTGATCTAAGTGCTCGGGAATTTACCACTTCTCTTTGCTAAATTTTCGTTTAGAACACTTATGGACTCCTTCTTGTTCGGGAACCTCCACCGTAGTTACAAAGATTAAGAGGGCTGAGTGTTTAGGACAAGAGGGTTTGGTTGCACACAAGTTCACAATTTTTCGTCCAGCAATTTAGGTTAAAATCAGTCAATTTGAGCCTCGTATTAAGCCCATATTTATAGGTAAGGGATACGATTAGGGTTTTAAGCATTCTGCAGCAGCAGGTGTCGCGCGCATCTGAATGGGTTGCGCGTGACTAACCAGCGCAAGTGATTTAGTTGCGCTGCTATAGTCAGCGTAACTGATTTTCTTGTGCGCAGTATTATGGTAAGATTCGATTTCATATTTTTATAAAATTCTGAATCTTCCGTAAGTGCATCACTGGAGGTTGCGCTAGGGGTCACACGCAACATTATGAGTTGCGGATTTATATGCGGTAGCATCAATCTATTTTAACCTAGGCGCCTCTAAATCCGTCATTATTAGGGTTTAAGCTCGGGCTTAAGCCTAATTATGATCGGGCTTAGTTGATTGGATCGTAATGATTTTTCTTTTGGGTTAGGCTAGCTTATTTTTATGTTCTTGCAATTCAATCAGTAATCCACAAGGGTTCTTCACGTTAATCCAACACGAAGATGGTTTTATTTATCGTTATTGCACTTCATGTCGGGACATGAGGCCAAAAGTAGATGTTTACACTTTGACACTTGTGTAAGACAATGGGACTGTATGCTTAGACTCAATTAAGGACTTGTAGACACCTAATTGTGTCTCCCCAAAAACCAAACCCAGTGATGAATACCTTTCACGTCATTTAATTATCGAACGAAGTGAAAGTGTGAAAAGTCTTGTGATGTGGTTGTTTTAATAAAAATAATTCTTTCTTTCTGTATTAAAAAATGTACACTATTTATAAAAAATGTCCAGTTCAATTTATTGTGGTCCATGATAAGGGTCCAGTAATAGTGTAGTTGGATTGGGCTCGAAAAGAGCTTTTCAAAGATATATTATAAGCCAAATTCCGATGAATAATGAGAAAGTTATGGCCAAAATACTAAATTGGGCCTAAAATGGTTTTATATGGCCCAATGATCTAGTGGAGGGCCTATTAATTAATATTCCTAAAATTATTAGGATTGATTTTAATCTTCTAGAATAATCTAGAAGGTTATTTTGAAATCTAATGGGGTTAGGAATATAATAATAATTATATCTTTTAGAATATAAAGAATTTTATTTGGATTAAAGCAAGTGTTTCAAAGAGATTAAATCCATTTTCAAAGATAAGTACGGACGTTGAATAATCGAATTTAATTAGATTAAGGATTTCCGTACGGATTTTTAAAAACGTGTGAACTACCGCGTTTTAACAAAACTAGCGCGCCGCGACAAAGCTTTCGCATTGCGACAAGGCTGTCGCGCTGCGCTGGACTCTGTTGCATCGCGACAGGGGTAGTTTTATTCCGGGTTGGCTTCGGTCTTTTTAGAACATTTTCGGGCTATTTTTCTTATAAATAGGGTCATATTTCCCCGTTTTAAATCATTCACAATCACCAACAATCATTCATAATCATCAATAACCATCTAATTCTATTCTCTTCTTTCTCTCAAGCTAGAAGCTTATTCTTTCTCCCTCTTTCTAAGCCTTCCCTTTTCAAATAAAAATACCGCATTGACGAGTTCTAGACACGCCTAGCCAACCTCGAAGTTGCCTTCGCCCTAGACATGAAAGGTTGATAATTTTTGAGGGTTTGGTCCCAAATCCCTATTTCGATTATTTAAATTAGTTGTTTGATTTTAATATTTTCCTTGAAGTTACTAACGTGTGTATTTTGTTATTAAAAAGAGATACGAGGCAACAAAGTATGTTGTTTTAATTGCTCTATACCTTTAAAAATCATGCTTAGATTATTCTAATTCCTAGTATCTTGTTAGGATGTTATTTATTTCTTTTTAGTATCATGCTTAGGTTTCTTCCTACACTACAACAAAATAAAGCAAAGGTAACAGTGCAAAACCATTGTCTAATATAAAAAAGAGTTTCCTAGCTAAGGCAACACATATTAGGCGTAGTATATGCCCCCGTTGTCTATTCATAAGCCAACACATTTTTATTCAAAGGCAACAGTTTTGAAAGCCAAGGTAAAATAATACATAAAGCAACACTTTTATAAAGACAACAAATGAAAAATGTTGCCATCTAAGAAGACAATTCAAAAATTTTCTAAATGTTGCCACTCTCAAGCATTTAGTAGTTGGTAGCAACATTTAGTAGTTGGTAGGGCTCAACTTGTGACCTCAAAGTCACAAGGTGAGTTTCCCATATATATATAGAATCAGGATCATGTGAGAACGTAGGTCTATAATAGGAACTAGGAACTCGTCTGATTCGTTGATTCTGTTTGATCTAACGGATGAGAGTTCGCTCGCTTCATTAATGGCAATTCTGTAATTTTCTGTTTGATTAGCCTTGTTTTGTGTTTCATTTCTCTTTCTCTCTCTTCCTTTTATTTTCTCTCTCTTCTCCCACATTTCTCCCCCATCTTCTCTCTGGTTTCACTCCTTCCCCTCTGCAATTTCTTCTTCGAATGCAATTTCTTGTAAATCTTATCTTCGCACCTTGTTAGTTTCAGAAATTCATCACAAAGTAAGTTAATTGTTTAATTTTCAAATTAGGGTTTTGTTTATTTAGTTTTTTCTTTCAATTGGATGCTTGAATCGAGCTTTGTTACGAATTTGGGGTTTTTTTTTTAGTATTTATTGATTTTTTGTTAGCCTTTGATAATGATCAAATTTTTCACTATTGTTCTTCTGATATTATTATGTGGAATTTGGATTTTAATTATTGTTGTTTTCTTTATTTAATTCGATTTTTAAATCAAGTTTACGCGATTTTTGACTGGGTAAATCAATTGACATGTTAGGAAATTAAAGCAGATTAAAATATCTCAAAAGTAAATTACAATTAAGATAAATATACTTTTGAGTTAATTGAATATATCATGGGATAAAATAGAAAAAATTAGAGTTTCCCATGTAATTTGTATTAATTTGAGTTTAATTTTTCAGGGTTTGTGGTTAGTGGACTAATTTATAAGTATAGGAAATTTGGGTTTCTTAAATCAGCTAAGAAGTATTTTGTGTTTGTATATAGATCTTGTTGTTTGGAGTGCCATGATTAATGGGTATGTTTGGAATGGTGATGAATTTGAAAAGGATAGAAGGATTTTTAGGGAGATTGGAATTGAGTGAGTTTCAAATCTATCTAGACTCTTTAAAAAGAGAGAAGTTCCACGGAACTGTTCCTTATGAACAGTAGGCTAGTGTGCTAACAGTTTTACCCTCGACTTGGGAGATTATTTACGGCTCTGCCATTGTATAGTTTTCTCATTTCCTTTCCACCTCATCTTCGTCTGTCCTTGCATTCCCGAATCCCCTCTCCATCACTCATCCATTTCCGTTCTCTCTCTTCCTACTCTCTTTCTCTTTCCTCTTTTATTTTCCTTCCACTTGCAGTCTTCATTAAAGCTTATTCCGAGTTTTCCATTGAAGCGTGCTCCGAGCATTCTATCTGCCTAAGTATGATTGATAAAGTGTGAATTCATAATGCAAAATTCTGTTTTTATTTATGAATTTGTAAAAGGGGGTTTTGATTTTTGTTAAATTTGGGAAATGGGGTTTTTAATGTTGTTGAATTAGGTGTTATTTTTTTGTTGTTTTCTTTGATAGTACTAGCTTTGTTGGTGCTAAATTATGATTTTAAATGTGATTTCTAGGTTGGATGTTTGTGTTGATTTGGGATATGTGGTTTTTATTTTGTTGAATTTGGGAATTAGGGTTTTGAAATTTTTTTTTTCACAATGAGAATTGGGGATTTCTGGGTGTTAGTTTTGGGTGATTGTTTGAGCGTTTTCGGTGCTAGATTATGCTTCTTGATGTGATTTCTGCTTCTGGGATGGGATTTTGGTTTATGTGTAGATTTTTGGATCTGAATATTCAATGTGATCACCTTTAACACGACCCGTTGTGTCTCTATGAGCTTTGTTGTTCTCTCTGTACCAAACCCATTGAAGAGCAGTTTTTTTTTTCCTTTTTTTAATGATAGTTATTTTCTGGGATTTCTGCAAACGGGTAGTAAGCTTAAAACTTTTTACTTTGTTTTCTTTGATGGGGCTGCTTTAATTTTTGTTAAGTAATGTGTATTCGTCAATCTCACTACTTTCATTTTTTCAAGCTCAGGCAAGTAAATTACCCATACATGCTAAGAAAATTCATCTAACTTCTAAATATTTCACTTGTGAATCCGTGACAGAATCACTCCCATCTGTGCTCAATTTATCTTGTTTGTTTTCTTGTATTAAAGGTGATTCTTGGGATCAGTTTGTTTTTTTAAGGGGTTTTTTCGTGTTAATATAAGAGATATTTTATAGTATTGAAATGATAAAAGCACATCTTTGGCACACTTTCCAGTTTCCACAGAGAATAACATTAAGGTGTCTATTTGGCATGGTGTCTAAGTAAGTGGGTACAGGCCTAAAAGTCTGACTGTATGGAATATTTCAAGCATTACCTCAAACCTGAACCCCACTGTGATCATACACTAAAGCATGGTGGCGTCCAAAGGGAAAGAAGATAGAGCAAAAGAGTCGCCAACAAGTTTTAAGAACTTGTAAACTGTTCACGAGGTAAAGGTTACACCCCTTAATGATCCAGGAGATCGTCAACTCCAATAGGTCTGGAACTATGACTAGTAGTTCGGGCATGAAGGTACAAATCCAACCTAAAAGAGATTGAACCTGCCCTAATAATAGGCCTCTACTTTATTCTGATTGTATTCATGTGCGCTTTCTGACTAACATGCAATCAATAGGATTAATTCTAAACCTGTTTATCTATGTTGGTTGAATTTAATGCACAAATAAACTATTATTGGCGATCACTTGAATTATAATCATATTAACCCTAAACAAGATTATTAATTATCTTATTAAGCGTGATTACAAGTACCAATTCCCTTTAAACATGCATAAAAGGTGTGATCCAGCAATAACAATAAAAGTATCAAGCAACATAATAATCATAACAATAATAACAATAATAATCATGTTAAAGCATAATATTAATAGCAAGATCATAGGCATGATACTAACAAGATTAATAACAAACCCTAGCATGTCACTAAGAAATAAAAATCAAAGGTTTAACCCTAACATGATACTAACATGCTATTAAGGGAGACAATAAAAGGCATCATAGAAATCATAATTGATCTAAGGAACATATTCTTTATCCTAAACATAATACTAAGAAGATCAAAACGCCCTAACATGACACAAGGAATCATAATAACAACATAGACATGATTTCTATATCATAATATCAATGAAAACATTTAAAGCACTTACTTGGATGCCTCGTATCTCTTTCTAATAACAAAATATACACGTTAGTAACTTCAAGGAAAATAATAAGACAAACAATTAAATTAAATAATTGAGAGAGATTTAGGACCAAACCCTCAGAAATTAAAACCTTTCACGTCTAGGGCGAATGCAACTTCGAACAATGCTAGGTGTATCTAGATCTTGTGAATGCAGAATTTTGTATGCAAAAGGGTTAGTTTAGAAAAGAGAGAGAGAAAGTAATCAAGAATTTCTTGAAGAGAGAGAATTAGAATTAGAGAGTTGTTGATGATTGAAAACGAAGGTTTAGGAGGCTATTTATAGAGAAAATCAGCCGGATGAATAAAAAAACGAATCAGAGTTTCAAAGAGAATAAAACGCATTGCGTCAGACACTAAGTTTAGCGCCAGGCGCTAATCCTATCGTCAGACGCCAGAAAACAATTTTCACGCGTTTTTTTTAATTTGATAAAATTTATCCGTACAGAAGGGTAAAATCGTATTTTCCTTAAAAACACTTCTTTTATTCTGATTAAAACTCTAAAAAGTCAACTAAAGTCAATTTATCAATGCTAATTAAATTATAGAAGAATCTAGAAGACTATAATCAATTCTAATTGCATTAGGAATGATAAATCAATATTAGGCCCTCATCTATATCATTGGGCCGCACACAAAAATCAAACTGGGTCAGTTTGGTATTTTAGTCATAACTTCCTCATTATTCATCGGAATTGGGCTTATAATATATCGTTGGAAAGCTCTTTTTGAACCCGACCCAACTACACTATTATTGGACCCTTGCCATGGACCAAAACAAACTTGATTGGCTGTTTGCTTAAAATAGGTTTTCAAAAACAGAGAGAAAGAAAAGAAATAAAAACTAACCGCAACACAAGACTTTCCACACTTTCACTTCATTCAATTATGATTCGACGTGAAAGGTACTCATCACTGGGTTTGGTTTTGAGGAGACACAATTGGGTGTCTACACTGACCTTGTTTAGAAATTGGCACTTGAAAAGGCCTGGAATTCTATAACTTTGTATTTTCCTGTTTAGTAACTTTTTCACTCCTTGATGTTATCATTCGCTCGGCACAATTAGGTGTTTTCCATTCCTTTCATGATTATAAACAATGCGTTTCATTGGATGAGACATTAGACCAGGCTCTCTTGCTCTGCTTAACCCCCCATAATTACCAGGAAAAAAAATGAATAAAAAAATCGTGGCATTTTTGTAGATTAAATTGGACTCGAGTTTTGATCTGTTTTCTTTCTGCAAAGCCTGTTTGACATTGTAACTTTGATAAACCAATGTTATTTCTTAACGTGTTTATTTTAGATTTGCAATAGAATTACTTTCTGAATAAACAAACCATTCATATATGTTAGTAAGTGGCATTGTACTCGGGTGTTCTTGTTGTATAATAGTGAAGATGAAAAGTTAAGGTGTGGATATTCAAGTTTCCGGGGAAAGAGAGCTAGCATGGAAGATTTATTTTTATGTCAAAATGTCTAAAAGAACGGGAAGACTTTGTGCCTCTTCAAAATATTTGATGGTAAGGCATTCTATACTTGACTTGCAGCTCGCTTATTAGCATTCTGTTTTTGAAGAATTTGAACTATATTATTGTCCATGTTTGTATGCATCTTGCAAATCTCTCTTACATATTTGCTTTTATTACCTTAAAATGTCTTTGACATTGAAGCTGTATTATTTGCGGCTTGTTAGTAATCTTAGTATAGAGCATATCTCTATTTAGGAAATGCTTAATTCAACTGTACTAGCTATAGCATGAAATTTGAGGTTGATTAATACAATCTAAGATAATATTCGAAACACCCTTCCTTTTCTTATAGAGTTTTCACCTATGTGAAATTTTCTAAGGAGATTGTATTAATCATTTTCTTATACAACCCCAACTCCTAAACAATACTATCTATACCATGAAATTTTAATTAGGAGACATTATTAATCATAATGCAGCTACTCATGAAGGAAAAATAGTCATTGTTAGGTAACAAAGAGTATTGTGAAGGCTATCTCACTGGATAATTATCATAAATTATAGCATGGTGATACATTGGATAGTTTTGCCTCACTTTAGATAGTAGTTGTTGCTGTGTATTCTGATCATTCATCTTTCCCATGACCATAATTTGAGCACTATGGCCCATTTTTTTTTTTATCTTCCTTTTTTTTCCAAGGGCAATAGTTATAATTAGTGGAGTTTTGGTAGATTATATGAGTGATTTTATCGATATTTTATAGTGAGTCATTTTATGCGATATTTGGTGTCTAATGATAATTACATCAATTTAGAGAGACTAACATTGCCATTGTGTTGTGTCTTGCGTGCAGCAGGATATCCACAAGACCACAACCTTCTTAAGATCAAGAAACATTGAATATTAATTTATTCACAAAATTATTATAGCTTATGAAGGCTTGTGTGTATAAACACTACCCTTTTTCTTGTTCAAGAATATGTGAATTTTCTTTATTTGGTGGTATGTGGTTGGTTAATACTTAATATCTTATTATAACCATTTTGCATAAGATTCAAGTACTAACTATTTGGAGTTTAAAGTTGTACGTGCTGTTGTATGGTGGCATGTCTAATTGATAGTATAATGCAATTGTACGTGTAACCCACGGACTGTATAAGGGAATTTGATTCTTCAACATTTTCCATGTTCATTTCGTAGCTTATAGACTTCAACTAAGTGTCTTTAGACTCTTTCTTAAGTGTTGCAATTGGAGGAGATGTGTTTCCTTGATCAACTTTCTTAGATCATGTGTTGAGGTTTAACAGAATCCCACAGTTACAACTATCTATTTCAGAGTGTTTTGCACTGACTCAGAGGCAACAACACAAAAGGAGGAATACAAACAAAGATAATGAAAATCAAGGCCATAAAATCTCAAGGTAAAGCAGATGATATAATCATTATACAATCTTTAAATTCAGCTAAACTACTATATAATAATTGAATTTTTGAACGCAAAAAAGTATATTTAAACAAAAATGAAGACCTTCAATTTTCACCTTTTCTTCTTTTTTGAATCTGCTTGAAAAGGAATTTGGTGGCAGGTTGTTTTTTTCTACAATTAGGGGGCTTGCTAATAAAGGAAAAAATGGCTAATTAGGTTTAATGAGTAATTAATCTTTTTCATTTTGAGCTTGGTGGGATTTGATTATTGATTATTTTGCTAGCTTGGATTCATTGAGTCTTGCGTGTTTTTTGGGTGGGTTGGATGTAATACTTAGCTCTTCAATTGACTAGATTATTTATTTAATTTGTATATTATTAATTAATTTATGTGTTCTAAAGCTAAATTGATGATTGCTTCTTCCTTATATTTTTAGAGTTGTTGTTTGGGATTTGCTCAATTCAATGTGTCCAGTTGCTTAAATAATACAATTAGTAATTTGGGGTGTATTTTACCTTACTTTTATTCAATTTCTCACTTAATGCAAACCTATAACTTTGAGTCAATGAAAAGTACGTGTACATCCCTTCAAAAAAAAAAAGTATGTGTACATTGGGGGGATTTGCCGAAATTGGGAATTAGTTCAATCTATGATGTATATCTATAAGTGTTGTTTCCTGATGAATACTTTTTTTAACCTCTAACCTCATAATGCTACTTGAAATAATTTTATCCAACCCCACCAGTATCAAATGGATAATCCAAGCTAATTTTATTTGATAGGATCAAAAGACAGATGTTTAGCGTTGAGCTATATTCCATAATTACCTAATTTAAAATATTGATTGACATATATATTACAAAATGTTTATTGTTTCATTTCACCTAAAGATTGCTAATTAGGAGAATGACTAATTTATGGAAATTTAGTTGATAACCTGAATGCCTTTATGAACCTGTAGAAGTCGGTTTTGCAATTTCATAATTTTAGCTTGTTGTTATTAATTTAATTAAGAGCATAACCTTAGTTAATTTTAATTTGGCCTTTTGAGATTTTATGATTATTTGTGATGTTATGTCTCAGTTTAAATGCCCAAAAATAACCATTAAAATTTTATGCTTGAAGTGTATAACCTGAATACTTGCTGGTAGCCCAATTCAGCTAGCAAATTGTACTTCGTATGTAGATTTGTAAATAATGGCTTTAATACGGTGAATCGTGTTATGATTTCATAATGTGTTCACAACTTGATTTCATAAGTTAAATTTAACTTGGGTGTGCTCATTGATGAGCTGGTTGATGGTGGGGTAAATTAAAATCAAGAGAAATATATACGTAGTATTTGATTTTGGGAGAGAGAAAGACCACTAGAAGATCTCTTAAGGGAAATAGGGCAATTAGCTTAGGAAAATAGAGGGTACACAACAACAATGAGATGAGGGAAGAAGAGGTAGAAAAAACTTTAAGACAAGTGATAAAAGGATAAGGGAAAGCTAACATGAATTGACTTTATAATATCAACAAAACCATAAAAACAATTAATTAATACTTTTGATATCAAAAAAACCACAAAAAAAGTATTTTTTAAACTAAATAGAGGAGGAAATTTTGAATCTTTTTAAGAGATCATTATTAGAGGCAATAATCTAAGGTATACTATGGTAATTGGTAACCATGGGGAATTTTTCCAAATTCTACCAAAGGCATTTAATAAGAAGAAAATTGTTAGATGCTAGATTTTTTTTCTTCTGAGGATTGTTGGATATTATAATTTATTAAAATTGGATAACAAGTCAAATTGTAGATTTAGTACAATCTGGTCTTCAATTAGAAAATTAAGGTCTCTTGTACCTTTATTTAGAAAATTAACGTTTCTTGTACCTTAAATTAGAAGATTACGGCTCTTGATCCAATCATTTTCTAATTAAGGTCTCTTGTACAATCTGGTCTTAACTTTGATGTTGAACCGATTTGAGGTACAAGAGACCTTGATGTGGAATTTTATAGATGTGTTACAAGAGACCTTGATCATTTTCTAATTTGAGGTATTGTTAGTTGAAAAAGAACTGAGGTGTTGAAATCTTGATTCCTAGCCAGAAATTATTAACTAGGATTTGGATTTCAGTCATTTGTTGTCTTTTTTTATTATATTATTTATTAAAATAATCTATTATGATGGTTTTATGCAACATTGTTACTTTGATTGTTTATTTATTTTAATTTTTTTGGAGGTAAAGATGTTTGAATTCTATAAATACTACGTGTATTCAAAATCAAAAATCATGTAATGTACATTACCTACAAAGTAACATTGTGAATGTAAATGTTTATTAAGGAGCTTTAACACACAATCAAATAAATTGTGTGCTTGTGTAGTGGAAATGGAGTCAATTTTTTCTTTTTTTACATATTGTTTTTATTCCTAAGGTTGCTAAGGGTAGCTAGCCATTACCACCTTTCCTGGATTTTTGTTATGATTTTTAACCTATGATAAAAGTGTCAGCTTAGCTAGCACTTGAATTGGAAATGAAGTGCTCAAGTGTAAGGGATTGGGAAGTGTTGATGTATTTGGCTCCCTTTTTTCTACTTCTGTAGTTCTGTGTTAATTTTTCATAATTAGTTAGTCCGTAATTTTTCATTCCTGCAGTCTGGGACATTTTTTTTTTTTTTTTTAATTTTTTAATTCCATTCTATTTGAATAATTGGCATATTTTATCTTAACCCTAAAGTGAAACCATGTAGATCACCTTAAAGAATTGAAGATATTGTAATTTGTCATGCCTTCTCTTCTCTCTGTTAGTTTAAATTCTTAACTTGAAATTAATGAACTAAAATTTTGATGAATGTATGCTAATTCTTCCACCTAAAGTTTTGAAATTTCTACCACACCCCCTCTCTGTTCTCTACAAGGTGTGTTATGACTTCACTTTGGTATTCTTTGTTTGTTTGAATTATTTATGCTCTTATATTTCACTTTTTCAAATTTATTTCTTTCATTGCAGCTCCCTTTTGGCACATCTTTATATGGAGCTGGAGAATTCAATGGACACCTTGAGAGGATAGAAAAAATAGTAAAGTTTCAATCCTAGCATTCTATCTTATGTGAATCACTTAGTTTTTATACTTGGGTCTTCACTTATTCTTTCTGCATTAGGTCTATACCTGGAATACAAATGCTTGGGGATATGGTCCTGGTATAACATCCTTATATCATTCACGTCCCTGGGTTCTGGCCGTTTTTCCAAATGGGGAAACACTAGGTATGCTTGCTGATACGACACAACGCTGTGAGATAAAATCCTCATTTATTCTTTCTATTTGAAGCCCTTGATTTTATAATGTGTTAATGTTCACATAAAATAAATGATTGGTTGCTTTTCTTGCATTTACTCCCTAAATGTTTATTCTAATCATCTTTCATGTGCTGGTTAATTTTACGGAAGGAGTCTACCTAAAGTTTGTTGCGCCATCATCTTATCTTGCTATAACATTTGGTCCATTTTATTCACCAACTCAGATTTTGATGTCTTTATCTCACACAATTGAATCTTTGTTACTTATATAAGACAATTATTTTAGTTTCATATTCCTTTTTTCCCCTAATGCTATGTTGGCTAGCTTAGAATAAGAGAGAATTACAATTTGACTAACAAAGGGAGAAATTTCATAAAGACTTTATGTGTATCTTTATTTACATCTTAATACTTCATATGGTCAATATTTGTAGAAGATGTGCTAATAATTGGAACCCTTCTTAAGTTTCAAAAAAAAAGAGGGTGGGGGTGGAGCAAGGTTACGTTCTTTTCAATTAGAGAAGCATGACCTTGTGTATAGACTTTTTGCACTTTACACTATTGTTTCTAAATTTTAGAAAAGGATTATTGAATGAGTTGAAACTAATGTCATCCTATAATACTAAGAGACTTTGCATATTAGATTTAGAACCTCTTGTTGTATCGAAGTTAAGAATATATATTAAATATGTTTCTTGTGATAATTAACTTTTGCACCACCATTACTTTCCATTTTCTTTTCCCCGAGTAAATTAAATATGCGTACACATTTTTGAAGGAATTGTGTCTTCGATAAGTGCAATTACTAGATATATCAAGGATCACTATTATGGAGATAATAAGTTCGTTCTGTTGGAACGTCATCATCTGTTGCTAGACTATGAGAGATGACCTTTGGACTAGTCAAATAGTCCAAAGCCTGCTAGAATGGATCCTATGATGTCACACACAAGGGTATTGGGTTAAGCAAGTTAGAGGACCATTAATGGGCCTCATGAGCATTTAACTAATCATGAAATGGATTGGGCTAGCATAGTTAGATTGGAAATAAGTTTTGGGCTTTTGACATGGGCTCTTATTTAGAGATGAGATCTATAAATAAGATTCATGCCTAGGGTTGCAAGTAAGTAGTCATAATTCACACACAGTGTATTTTGACATCAAGGCAACCAATCCCAAAGACCCTAATTCCTCTCTCTAACTCACGACTTTCTCTCTCCTCCCCTCGTCCGTACGGCCGGCCACCTTGGTGGCGTGTGTGGTGGTTCGTGGTGGTTCATGGTGGTTCGTTGCTCGCACTTCTCCGTAGAAAGTCAATTGAAGAGTTCAATTGCAACTAACTAGCATTAGTGGAGGTCTTAATCTGTGCCCGTGGACCAAGTAGAGGAATCATGCTTGAGGTTCTTTATCTCCCAATGTTCTCGCTCGATCGCACGTGGAATCACGCTTCAAAGGTACGATTATATTTTCTTTATGTGTTATGCATTAGATCTTGAGATTAGGTATTGTATGAATATGATTCATGTTATTTCCGCTGCGTAATACCTATAAACCCCTACAGTGGTATCAGTTAGCCTATTGCATTTACGTATATTGACTATAATTCTTTGATAGTCCACAATTTTAATTCAATTAGGAGGGAGAATAATTAATTATGGTTCAATCTTTAGATTAAATGGAGATTTAATTTTTGGGATATGATAAAATATGATTTAATTGCTCAATTGTTCTAGCAAAATCTGAATTTAGCCCTAGTTTTTTCGAAAATTTTAATTGAAATAAAGCCCTAAATTTTGAT